TGGAAAGCAGTTTTGTTCCTCAGCTGTTAATTCAATTGCAATGTTGGGACAAACCCTTCTCATGTTGGGACAGTAAAACATTGTTGGTTGCAGGCCCATTTGTATGTGGTAATACTGTTTTAATGTAGTTGCCAGAGATATCAGAGCTAGATGAGATCCTCTGTTTAATCCTCCTCCCTACCCCTTTGGAGACTGTGAGATACGAGGAAGGTTTGTGATTTTAGGTAACATGACCGGTGGTACAGATTCTCAAAACTCATCTTCAGCCTTTGTGGTAAGCTTGATGGGGATGACCTTGTAAGTAAAGGTCAAGAAAAGTCCTTAAAATTCTCTTGGGGTGGCCCTCTTCATGCAACACTGCTTCACCATTTCAAACACATCCCTTTACCCTTGAGACCCAGCTCGCCAGGCTGTGGGATGCCTCAGTGTCCACTGGGGGTAATGAGCCTTCTCAGGGAGTGAGTTACCTGAGCTCTTTGTGCTGTTGATACTTCAGACCTTCTGAAAGAAGAGAGTCTCCAGAGTGACGTAAGGATCTTCTTCCCCATGTTGCCTTCCCAGGGAAACAATCCAGTGCACAGTCTCCTCTCCCAGCCACTGCCAGCGTCTGCTGATGCTGCACGCACAAGAGATAGATGCACTTCTCTTTGGGCCCTGCAGTACTGCTCCTTTGTGCCAGACAAAACCATGGTATAGGTGTATTGGCTGTGCATACCAAGGTTTTGGTAGCAGCAGGAGCTACAGAGGTGGCTTCTGTAAGAAGCTGCCAGAAGCTTCCCCTATACCTGACAGTGCCAATGCATCGAGATGGACCCATGACCAGCAGACCAAGGCCAAACCCATCAGCAATGGTGATAGTACCTCTGTGATACTATGTTTAAGAAGGGAAAGAAAACCTACTGTAAAACAGCAGCCAGGAGTGAGGAATGAGAATATGTGAGAGAAAAACCTCTGCAGACACCAAGGTCAGTGAAGAGGGAGGGGGAAGAGGTGCTTCAGGTGCCAGAGCAGAGGTTTCCCTGAAGACCATGGTGAGACAGGCTGTACTCCTGGCAGCCCATGGAGGTCCACAGTGGAGCAGATATCCACCTGCAGCACATGGAGGACCCCATGCAAAAGCAGGTGGATGTTCCCAAACAAGGCTGTGACCACATGGGAAGCTTGCACTGGAGCAGGCTCCTAGCAGGACCTGTGGAGCCATGGAGAGAGGAGCCCACACTGTAGCAGGTTTTGCTGGCACTACTTGTGACCCCGTGGAGGACCCACATTGGAGTGGTTCATGAGGAACAGCAGCTCGTGGTAAGGAATCACACTGGAGAAGTTCATGGAGGATTGTCTCTTGTGGGAGGGACCCCACACTGGAGCAGGGAAAGTGAGAGGAGGAAGGAGCAGCAGAGTTGACATGTGCTTTCTCATTACTCTACTCTGATTTGTATGGTAATTAATTAAATTAATTTTCCCAAATTGAATCTGTATTGCCCATGATGGTAATTGCTGAGTGATCCCCACTGTTCTTATCTTGACCCAGGAGCCTTTTATTGTATTTTTGTCCTCTGTCCAGTTGAGGAGGTGAAATGATAGAGCAGCTTTGGTGGGCACCTGGCATCCAGCCAGAGTCAACCCACCACAGCTCACTCTTGTCAAATAAAACCGTAGTACAAGAAACCCTGGGTTTCAATAACCTAAGTTTTTGGTTTCATGTGTCTTCCATTTGTATGACCCAGGGACCACAGAAAAACACCTGCCAAATGTACAGGAACTGAGGGGAACATTCACTATTTCCTTGGCAAATCCATAATTTCCAGCCATTCTTTGTAAAATAAGTTCCATATCTATATGAGTATTGCATGTATTTAAAAAAGAAAACTTACATTATCGAAAATTACTAAAAAAACACCCAAAACAAACAAAAAAACCAACAACAAACAAACAAACAGAAAAAACAATTGAGAATTTGCCTTGTGAAAGCAAGCAAAACTTGTCTTCCAAATCAGAAGCAGAATCTATATTGTAAGTATTTGGGTACTTTTTGCCACTTTTTCAGAAGTTTGACCAGATGGGATGGTTTGTGCCAATTGAGGACACCCAGTGTCTTAGCAAGAGAGATCTGCTCTGTTGAGTTTCTTCTATCCTGAGTCCACCAAAGGCTCAAAACTAAGTGCAAACTGAGGTCAGAGAGTGAATGTTGTTTCCAAGGACTGGGACATGACTTTGAATAAACCAGGCAGGCCCTGGTGCAACCAAAATATATGATTAAGCCATTGGAAATACCTTTGCCATGCTGAACATCTTAGATTCCATGTTCCAGCCTGGGCTTCTTACTCATTTTCTTTTGTGTTTCCATGACTTGTTAATTTAAAACAGAAGTTTTTCCCAGACAGAAACTGTTCCTTAATACATTTCTATGGGACCGAACTCAGTAGGGCATCTGTGTTAATAGCAGCCCTGTCACTACCACATCAGCTGGTCAGCAGGATTCCTCCAGCTGCTACTTCCCAAATAAGTTAAGATCAGGTGAGAAGGAGATGTAGTTGTAGTGCATCTAATTTAATTTTGTTTGGTCGTTGTTTGTTTGGGGTTTTTTTTTTAGTTTTCTAAAGCCTGTTATTTGAGAAGTGCATGGGAATTTAGTTCTGGATCTTTTCCATAGCATATTTAATTTTTGTTTACTGTTTGCTTGGAAGGGTGAAAAGATGAAACCAATTGGTACAGAGAACGAAGGAACTGTTACCTTGCATGGAGGTTGGAGATAATCTGACAGGTTTTGGCAGGTGATCAGAGTGACAGGGAATAAAAGCCAAGAAGGAAAAAAAAATGGGGGAATGGGGAATCAATGGAGAATGCATGTCATACTGAATCACTTCAGTCAAAAATTTGATAAGCACACAAGGCAGAAAATAGTAGGGAGGAAGGATTAGCCATTTTTGTACAGAGAGATTAATTACTCTCATAAGAGTCTGATTCAGAGGTGCAAAATTTACTTTTCCTTAAATCCTGGCTCTGACATGAACTGGCAAGTCTCTTCATTCTGCCCATGGGACAAAGGCAGCTGTATTGCCAAGCGCAGCATCTGTGTCCTGGGTGCCACAAATGGACAAAACATTTTTTAATCCACTAAAATAAATGGACATGGAGGTGAACCAAGTATAGAAATTAAGGTACAGAAAATTACTTTCCCTTCATTTGAAGCATATTTGTAAGCAGAGCTATTTATGGCTTTTTTTGACTGACAGCAAAAATTATAATAATCTAACAATAATCACCTTGTGGAAAAACAGGAACAAATTAATCTGAAATTTTTTTTTATATTTGGTCCTTGTGCAATAGAGAATATAATGATATAACTGTTATGAAACAACATTCCAGTAGTATGTCAAGCTGTCTCTTTTATTTAATTGCAGATAACTGTAAAGGAAAATATTTGAAACTAGATGACACGCATTATGACATATCATTTAGCCATGGAGATGTAAGCTGGGTTTAAAGCTTATTTGGAATATTTAGGTCCTTGGAAGCATGAAGAAAGCAGGAGTTTCTGACAAATAATATCAGAATTCTTCCGGGTTCTTTAGAGTGGGTTGGAGGTTGTTGTAGACAGGTCCAACACTTCACTACATTGCTCAGCAGCTGCTGAAGCCCATGTAACTGAAGAATAGGTTATAGTTCTTAGCTTTTTCTTGCTTACTGTCATACAAGGTCATCCTATCATTAGGAGTCAAGCTTGTGCCGTTGGTAATGTGCTGTCTCTTTTTTAACCTCATTTTACAGTTAGCTGCTCAGTTACATGATAAGTGCTTTAGCGCAACAAGATTGAAGTTAGCATTTTATTTTGTCTTCATTATTATCCTGAGTTATGTTTAGTAAGATTTTGGTTTTTTAGATGTTAGAACCACTTTATTTTTAAAAAGCTGTTCTCACATTACAGGTGTGTTTTCTCCAGGTTCTTTCCTCATCAGATTTATGGAGTCACACGGCTGACTTTGAGAATGAAAATATTGTGGAACATATTTGGTTTTCTGTACTTCCTCCAAACAGTCTTTTTCTTTCCCCCCTAACACCAGTGTGTCCAAGCATGCCACCTTCTGTTTTTTGCTCTCAGAACGTGCAGAAAACATTGACAAAATTTTCTGTGCTTAGGAAGCCAGCTGGGACTTGCCTCCTCATTTAAGTCTTCAAGTTAAATTAGATGCCACCTTACAAGTTTCAGATGGTCCTTATCTAGTTCCAAACAGTCAGGTGATCTGCTTGGGATGTAAAAATTCTGAAAAAAACCCACCCTCAGATAACAGAATTTTAGGCCCATAAAATTCTAAGTGATATTCTTAAGACAGATTTGAAAGTGTTAAGTTGCAGTGCTCAAGTAAATTGAAGTGTTGGACTGTAATGCACACCAGCAGTCAAAGGCTGTGGTGCTTATTAAGGGCTCTACCATCTTCCAGCTTTACATTGATGAAAGATTAGTGTAAAGCCTTCTCAAAGAGCATCAGCAACAAGATCCAGACTTACAGACTTTTTTTTTTTCCTTTCCAGTGAAATCCTGCAACACCAAATGTCTCAAACATTTTAATGTGAATTCTCCCCCTGTTAAGGAGGACCCATCTGAAACACTGAGATCCTCCAGCTTATTTTTAAAATCTTAACAATAAATAATTCACAGAGTATGAAGTTGTCTGGAGAAACACAACCACTTCTTGGCATTATACATTGTTTCTAATTATCTGTTGTTCTCATTGTGCTTTGGCACAGGATTGATTATCTAATTGGTTATATGATAATTGTTTAGACCTATGACCTTTTTTAATCCTTCCTCAACATATTAGATTGCTAGGCAATTAACAGGATTTGAGGCTTTCCATAATCTTCATGATGTCTACATATGCATAAGGATAAGTGTATTTGTGTCTAAAATCATGAAAGAAAAACACTTCACATTGCTGAATTTTGTGTAAATTTTATTTTCATGTTCTTCTTTTCTTTCCCATTTTAGGTATTAGATAGAAATGGCTTTATGGATCTGGACACTAAGCATTTTGAGCTGGTTTTACATCACCTTATCCAGAAGTGAGGAAATGAAATGTTTTCAGAGTGCAAAAGAGTTAAATCATCTAACAGTGGATAATGACACTGGGATAATATATTTGGGAGTGGTAAATGCTCTATATCAGCTTACAGAAAACCTGGATGTAATGAAGTATGTAGAAACAGGTCCAAGTTTGGACAACAAAAAGTGCACACCTCCCATTGATGAAAATCAATGTAAAGAGGCAGTACTGACTGACAATTATAACAAATTATTGTTGCTGAACAAGGCGGATAAAACAATTGTGGTGTGTGGAAGTCTTTTTAAGGGAATCTGTGCCATCAGAGATCTGGAAGACATTGGAAATGTGAAGTATTATGTGGACAGTAGCGGAGAAAAGTCCTTTGTAGCAAGCAACGATGAGAATGTATCAACTGTGGGATTGATCACTTCCTTGGAGAATGACCAAGTGATGTTTGTCGGGAAAGGGAATGGACCAAATGATAATGGGATAATAATCAGCACTCGACAGCTCTACAGTAGGGATGGAAAAGACATTTTTGAAATGTATACAGACTCGGCAGCTGTTAAGTCAGCTTATCACTCATCAAGCACGCAACAGTTTGTGGCAGTCTTTGAGTATAAAAATTATGTTTATTTTATTTTTAATCAGCAAGAGAAACAGCCCATCAATAACCGCACATTGATTGCACGACTCTGCAAAGCTGATGCCCATTATTATTCCTACTTTGAAATGGACTTGGGTTGCAAAGATGATGACGGTGCCTACGACCACTGCCACTCTGCTTACGTCACTACCCCAGGAGAAGAGCTGGCCGAGAGCATGGCTCAGCAGCAACAAACGATGGATGCTATCTCTGATGACAGAGTTCTTCTTGCACTCTTCAGCAAAGTAAACAAAGATAATGGCTCTCTAAAATCTGCCATGTGTGTCTTTTCCTTGCGGCAAATCAACGAAAAGATGGAAAAAAACCGAAATGATTGCTACACCAAAAAGAATACCAGCTCATTTTACAAACTTTTTTCAGCTGAAAACCCGTGTGCATCACATGGACTGGTAATATCAGTATCAGTTTTAGAATCTGTGTTAGAGCTAATGGAAAATATACAACCGCATGTTTTTGGGTGGCTTTGAGCTGAACTATAGTGATATCAGATGACTGAAACCTCAATAGCTGGATTCACTATAGAAAAGGAATGTGGCTGGGGGGTTGTGGAACAGGTCAAGCAAGAAGTGGCCTGATAGTCGTAATTTTGAGTATTTTAAAAAATATTTAAAAGTTTAATATTGCATTTCTTTTAAAGGGTTCCTCCTGGTATGGAAATTGCTGAGTCAAATGTAGTGATTTTTTATACCTGTGATCAGCTTCTGGATGATCATTATAGACAATTCTGGTCTCAGCCAACACATTTGTAGTGATTTTAAGTGGTATTAAGAATCTTCTAGGTGATATCTGGAGTTCAGTGTTGTTTCCCACTTGGATTTGAATGTTCAGATAACTGGAAATGCACATTTCTTATATTCAGGTGGTATTCATATTTTGCTCTGGCTCAAATGCTTCCATAGCATGATGGCCACCCTGCTTTTCTTATTATGAGTTGTCATTACTTCAGCTATAAGGCTTTTGGAGGGCACAGTTGCACATCTCCAGATACTGTTTTTCAATTTATTTTTGCCTTCTGAGAGGCAGTTTTCAGCATCTCTGTTGACTTTGCAATGTTTTTGCCTACACCACTGAAGCTATTCCCAAGCCTTGAGCATGTCAGCCAACCTTAACTGGGTTGAGGAATTTAACCATCTTAAAAGTAACTCAGCCAGCTTTTAGGAGGATGTCTTAATTGCCCAACCTGAGCAAGCTACACACTTGCATAAGCAGCTGTTTGCACACAGCTTGAGAAGTGGTGTTCTACAGTCTAGGGGTAGGACTGAACAGCTGAAGAGATGGAACAAGGTAGTACCTTATGTTGGTATTGACCCGGAATCCTTCAGCTCACAAACCACGGCCCCCTCCCACACAGTAGGCTGCTAGCACTGGTAAGAAGCCAAAGTTTGCTTCCAAACACTGGTGTTACTCACTGCAGTACCCTGCATCTGAGGTGAACATCAAACATAGGAATCCTGAACGTGGCAAGTGAAAGAACCCTGGCTTCTGAAAAATAAGAGATGTGGATTTCAGATCAGAAAGACAGTATTATGACCAAAATATAGCAGGAAAGGCAAGGTGTGAATGAACTTCCTTCTAGTGGCACTCCCACAGCTCAGGATTAAAGTATAGGGAAGAGGGAATATGTTAAAGTTCACGATACGATTGCCAGTGGGCTGCTTTTCTATGGGTAGCAGCAAATTAAGAAACAAAGCAGCATTAGAAAACCAGTCTTCAACACTAAATTTGTTAACCCAATTTATATGACATGTTCATTTTATTAAAGTGGTTACTTTTAAAAGTCTGCTGCTATAAGTAAATAGGAGCATTTCTCTCCCCTATGTCTCTTGGAAAGTGGAAGTATTGATGTGGTTTGCAATTAGCAGGTTCTCTTCAGATTTCTGCCTCTTTGCTGGAGGAAAATGGCCAGACTGCATTTCTTTCTGTCTACTCTTCTATGTTTGAGTGGTATTTCACTGGCTGCTAACAGGGTTGCATTTCATTCTTGGCTAGGAGTTAAGTGATCTTCATGTTTAACATCGGTCTGTGTTGCTATTCCTTATTAGAATGCAAGCAAAAATTTCCCCTGTGGCTCCGAACACTTGCCATACCTTTTGGGAAGTAAGAATGGTGTTATAGAGAAGCCAGTACTGCAAAAAGAAGGGATGAATCTCACAGCTGTCACTGTGGCTGTGGAGAACGGACACACCGTGGCCTTTCTTGGAACATCGGATGGTAAAATTCTTAAGGTAACAAACTGGGCTTTAAAGACTGGACGGTGTTTAAAAGGTCATGAACTGTAGTGCTAGCCTAATTCTACTCCAAAAGTAAATGGGATTTGTAAGATCACATACCAGGAGCAAATTCTTTGGGGGCTTGGTATTTTTAATTTCAAAGAAAAAGCACATTATTTCTGAGGCATCTCAGCTATCTGATACACAGGTTGAATTAGCATTACCTGAATTACACTGTTGCAGAAGGATTAGATACTTACTGAGAGCCCTATACAAATGGCCCTAAGGTAACTACCAGCTGCTCTAGCCTTATCTCTATTCAAACCCAAGCTAGCTGAAGAGCAGCTTTTCATTTTGTAATCATTCTGGCCATTCAGTGGATACAAATGGCAATACAAAGGCCAAGCTGGAGCTCTGCTAAGTTCTGACTGTGTTGTGAGGCTCAAAGGTTCATGTGTTTGTGGTGTTAAAATGTCAAGACTGCAATGTTTGTCCCTTTTGCTTGAAAGAGAGTCATGGCCATGTGCCACTACATGGTTTGAAGTCTGAAGCTGAAACTGTTGTTTACCATGACGGAGAACAAGTTTAATACCTTCAATTGCAAAGGTTCCAACTCCAGAATTTGAATTTTACAACTCTAAAATAAATCAATATTTACCAAAAAATCAACACAAATGTTTGCTAGTGTGAGTAGTAAGCATTTTCTTTTCATTACTTTTATGCTCTGCTTGCTCCTTTTGATGCCTTGTACTACAAATTTAAATGTTTTACCTAATGTGAATTTGTGACCTTGAGTAAGCACAAGATTTTTATTAATGATATTTGGGGGAAAAAAAGCAATATTAACCATCTTTCTTCCATGAAATAGGTGTTCCTGTCATCCACTGCAACTGAGTACAGCTCTCTTACTATTGAACTAAACAAACCTATCAAGAATGACCTGGTCCTTGACCAAACCAAAGAAAATTTGTACGTGATGACCACAGACAAGGTAACGTGTCCCACTTGCATTAAGGACCAGGATCCACTTTCACCTTCTCTGCAACTTTACCTGAGAATTGTACGTTTCTCAGTTGTTCCTGGAAATCACCCCATTCTCTGTGTGTGTTAAGATCTTCCTCAAGTCCAAGCTGATGGACTTGCTTGTTGTAACTTGGAGAACTGTTATATTCTTGATGCTTAGTGATTGGGAATGGGAAGTGAGTTAATCTGTAAAGCTCTCTTATGGGACCTGTGAGAAGGATGAAGTTGAGATGTTTGGCACCAGGATGCAGAAGGGTCTAGCAACCCTGGTGCTGTGTGTGGTACTGGCAGATGCTATGACTGCCATCGGTCCTTTTCAAGAGTGCTTCAGGATTTAGGATGCTGGCAGCTGACATAATAGCATTTACACGTGCTGTCAGAAACTAAGAAGTGATGGAGAGAATCACAGCTTTGGGAAACACTTTTCTTAGAGCTTCTGCTAGAACTGAGCAAGTGCAGGAGGAGAGGTCAGACTTTTAAACCTAGGCTCGTCTAGGATACCCTTCTCTGCACTGGCAGATGAGGCACAATGGATGCTTGTAAAGAAAGGAAGAAAATAATCAAGTAGGAGACAAGAGGGATGCCAGATTTCTCCTTCAACTCCAGCTATGACCCTCTTCTGACATTTCACTTTGTGGTGGCTGGAGCTGCCAGCCTCAAACATGTGGTTTAGCAGCAGTCAAAGATAGGGTGTGTGACAGGTTGCAACCATCTGCAGTGACGTGGGATGGGATGTGGGAAACACTCCAGCTGTGGTATCACAAGAAGAATGAGGGAGCCGTGAAAGGAGAGTACTTGAGGAAAATGGTGCAGGAAGAATATTCTATTTCTGGTTTATAAGAGTATTAATATAAATTCCTGCTTTGGGGTTGTTATATTCTGTCTGAAGTTTTCAGGCTGGAAGCCATAGTGGAAAAAGTGCCAGATAAGTAACTGCTAAAGCTTTTAGTAATGACAGTGTTTGTGAGAGGTTAGTTAGGAGGTGGTTATTATTATAATTATT